CAGGGTATAGCCAGCCACATGGGGAAGGTGGAATCAAGACCCTCAAAGCAGTAGACCAGGAGAATTCAGATGGTATTGTCCAAAACTTGGACTGATTCCATGACTTCTGTACAGAGCTGTTTTGAAATAAAGAGTGAGTGTCAGTAGCCCCAGCCTCCTATATAATGGGGTCCTTCAATAGGTAATGAGGGGTTGAACATTTACTGTTCATTCTCATTCATTCACTCATTCCTTCATGCATCCATTCAAAGATTTGTTGGGTTCTTTCCATGTATATACTACTATGAAGAGGACAGAGACTGGGGTTAAAGAAGAATTAGATAAATATACTTTATATTCTAGAGAAGGAAACTGACATGTTCCAGTTAACTACATTACCTAGGAGGCTGTTGCACTGTCATCTTCACAAAATCAGCTACTATTTTTTTACAGTTTATTCCGCAACCCATACAGTGTAGTTACTATCACCAATCCTCACCAAAGCCCTACAAGTCAAAGTACAATTCTACATATATTTCACAGATGAGGAAACTGAAAACCAGAGACTTTACATAAGTAATTCAGAGTCTCAGGGCTTGAATGTAACAAAGGTAGCAGACGAACCTCGGTGTCTTCTAACAGCATGCATATGTTGTTCCCTTTCTTGAGTGTGATCATACACTTTTGTGTATGATCACAGTGTAATTCAAACACAAAATTCTGTGGATGTGTAGAAGGAGACTGAATTCCAAATGGAGGAGTTGTGAAAGGCTTCATGGAGGTGGGCATATAACAAAGAATTGAAGGACAAAGACAGGTCTCAAAGTGGGAGGAAGAGAAAGATAAGTGTCAGCAGAGAAACAGAGTGTGGCCAGGCACATGATCTGAATTAACACAGAAAATGGTGTTGGGAAAAGCTGCAAAGGAGAAAGGACTTAAGAGTTGCTACACAAATGGGTTATGAGTAACACATAACCAAGGAACAACAAACTGCGGAAGGCCACAGCTGGCCTCTGAGGAGGAAGGCCTCTCCATGCCTCATGTTCTGGTGCAGGGTGACCTAGGCTCTGTTACCATAAAAATTGTTCTCAAGGACGTAAAACCCCTTCATAACACTATGACATAGCCAGACGTGTAGGCTCCTTGTAAGGCCTGAGTTCCACCAACTGCACATAGATAATAAGCTAAAGATAACCACATGTTCTTGCTTTATGAAACTCCCAAACCCACTGTTATCAGTTGTTAGGAAGACACACCAGTTCCGGCTCACGGATTCACTTCCGGCTCACTGATTCACTCCACCCCCTACCCTATAGATCAAAGTGATTGTAATCAATAAATAGTGTGGATGATCAGAGCTTGGGGCCTTCACTGTCTGTTTACTGTGTTCAGGTTTTTTGGAAGTTTCAGGGTATACTATGGCTAAAAACAAAAGAAGACAAAACCAAGACAATGGTTAAGTCTAGAATTAGAGACCGATAGTAAGGTAATAAAAACAAAACAAACAAACAAAGCCACATACACATAATTCCAATTAAAATAGTACTCTGAAGAAAACGTAGTCTGTACTTGTGGGTAATACAGGTGTGGGAAGGCCTCTCTGAGGAGGGGCTATGAACTGATAGTGAGCAGTGACTGCAGCAGTACCTATGAAGAGGGAAGGGTGTCTGGGAAGGGTCCTTGAATTTCTGCCTTGAGAGGCAGAAACTGGAAGAAGCCTGGCAGAGAGCGATAGGCAAGCGCTAGATCATTAAGACCTCTGGGCCACCTTAAGGAGTCTGGACTTTCTTGGTGAATGTGAAGCTACTGAAGAGTTTAAAGCAGGAAAATGACACAGTCTCATTTTTATTTCTAAAAGGTCACTGCTGCACAAAAAGAGAAGGCAAGAGTAGAAGCAGGCAGAGCAGCCAGGGATGACTGCAATGGTCCCGGGAAAATCAGGGGAGGCCCCGACTGTACAGAGGCAGAAGAGATGGGAAGATGTATTCGTGGAAAGAGCCAACAGGACCTGCTTCCAGGTTGGATGTGGGGCCCAAAGGAGGAAGGAGTGAAGGATGACTCCTTTATCTTTGGCTTTAGCAACTACATGGATGGGGTGCCCCGATCTGGCATATAAAATAATGGGGCAGGAACAGCGCAGGGGAGAGATTAAGAGTCAGTTCAAGCCATGTGGCTTTGAGCTGTGAGATGTTAAGTATCCAGGTCCTGAGTCAGAAATGGGAAAACATTAGAAAATAGGAACTGTTTCTGAATTTTCATCTCTTTGAAATTATATGTGTCACAAATTCTTGCTGACTGTGCAGTGTGTTCCATTCTGCTCAGGTTTCCATCTCTTGCTCCCTGCTCTCAGAGTGTCCCCAGGGCTCTAGGAGAATGGCAGTAACTGAAGCATCGTCTGTTCTCCTGTCTCAGGGCCTCAGACCTGGAGCCTTGAGTGCACACACAAGTGGAAATCAGGAGACCAACATGGTTTTAATCATTAACTAACCATGTGACCTTGGCCATTTCCCTTCACTGGGCCTAACTTCTCTGTGGGTACACATAGTCTCTCAAGTCCTTTTTCCGTTAACGTGGTATATTCAAGCAAAGCCCTCAGTCCAATAAGCTTATGAGAAATCACATCCTTATTCTTTCATTCAACAAATATTTATGGAGAACTGACTATGTGCTAAGTTAGTTTAGATACTTGGGATATAGAGTGGACGAAACTGACAAAGACCTCTGTCTTTACAGAGTTTAAATTCTAGCTATGGGAAATGAGCTGTAGACCTAATGATACATGTGTAAATTCTATAGGATGCTGGAACGTAGTAAGTGCTGTGGAGTCAAGATAAAGAGTAGGGTAAGGGGGGTGCTGAGAGCAAGGAAAGGATCGAGCACTAAGTAGCGTGCTCAGAGAGGCCTCCTTGAGAGGGTGGGCTGGAGATGGGCGTGTGGAAGGCAAAGGCACTGGCCAGCACCAAAGGGGAGTTCATCCTCCTCATCTGAAACACAGCCCTGAGCAGTCATTTCCCAATTAGGCTCTTGCTAAATCCAGCCCAACCCCAAACTGGGGACAATAATCAACCTCAGGGATGAGTCCTCCCTGGCGGGGTCAGGAACACCTCTTTTATGGCAGTGGCTGTTTTCTGTCTACAGGTCCAGGTCCTCTTCACCTCCCAGAGCCGCTTCGGCGGGCACGAGTCTCACACATACCCTCCCGCCTGGCCCGAGGCCTCCCTTCCCTGTCCTGCCCCTCCCCTCATGGACTCACTCATCTCTGAAGCCTTCTCCATTCTTCTCACTCCCCGCAGCTCTTCTAGAACCTCTGCAAGCTCAGCTTGCCTGACTGCACTGAAGGGAGCTGAGCTCTGCCCCACTCCTCAGACACAAGTTCCCACTTCCCCTTTCACCATTGTGGATCATGGCAGCTCTGGTTACCATCCCCATTTTGCAGATAAAAAATTGGAAGTCACTTGTCTGAGTCACATCAAGTATTGGTGCAAGGAGGATCGAAACCCATTCATTGATTCACTCATTTGTTCATTTATATATTCACATTAAGTGGCTTCTATGTGCCAGACACTGTTCTAGGAGCTAGGATACAACAAAGAGAAAACAGACACATCTGTCCTTATGAAGGTCCTTTCTTGCCGCCATCCTGCTTCCAAATAAGAAATTTGAACTCTTACCTGCTTCCTGCTTGAAAACTCCCACCTAAAATTCATTTTCTGCTCATACTCCTGCCCCTGCCAGCAACAGATGATCACCATTAAAGGGGGAAGATTAATTGTGCAGAGGGATAGGCCAAGGAAAAGTGATTTCTCTTTAGTGAGGCTGACAGCACTGCTAGAATATTAAGAGGCACCTGCCTAGGAGCCTCTAGGTAAAGCCAGAAGAAAAATGTGACAATGAAACATCTTTTGTCTCTGCCTCCCTCGCCAGTCCTCCCACAGTGTCGGACAAGTGTATGACTAAACAGATAACTCCTCCTCTGAAGTGCAGTGTGGAGGCTGCAGATGTAATTGCAGAGTCCTTTCCCATTGCAGGCAAGTCCAGAGGCACCCCCTATGTCAGAAGACCTGTGTGTGTGTGTGTGTGTGTGTGTGTGTGTGTGAGTGTGTGTGAGAGAGAGAGAGAGAGAGGGAAAGAGAGAGAGAGATTAGAGAGTCAGGGAGAAACAGCAGGAGAGAGGAAGAGACAGAGAGGCCACAGAGGCAGAGACCAAAAGAGAAAGATGCAAACCGACAGAAAGATACAGAGAAACTAGTCAGGATGAAGCATGAAGATAAGGAGAGAAGGATCATCGGAGAGGCTGGGAGAGGCTCAGGCTTGAAAACTGAGGAGAAATGGGGTGGGGGCAGAAAGAGAAAAACAGGGAGCAAATGGCAGAAAAGGAAAGAATCAAACTGAATGCGTGTGTGAGAGAGGTACAAATGTAGACAGCAGGAGAAGGGAGGGAGAGGGGAGAGAAAGGCAAAGGATGAGACAGAAAGAGACAAAAGGACAAAATGCAGAGAAGCACAGACAGCAGAGGACAGACTGTAATTGAGATGCATGAGACTGAAATAGAGACAGGAACAGTGAGAGGGACTGAGGAGGACAGAGGTGGAGAGACACAGGCAGGGACAGGAAGGGAGGCCTCCGTTTTCATGGGTGAAATGCAATTCCACAGAGTAGGTATTTTCTGAGAGGCTTGCTTCAGGGAGGAGGCTGGAGATGAACACTTACATATAAATTGTGGGAAGGGTGTCCAGTTCATCACAGAATGATTTAAAGTTTGTGGTTACTATAAGGCTGAAAATTAGTTTCCCATTGCCACCGTAACAAATCACCACAAATTTCGTGGCTTAAAACAACAGAAATGTATTCTCTTAGTTCTGGAGGCCTGAAATCAGAAACCAGTTTCACTGGGGCCAAAATCCAGGTGTTCACAGGGCTGTATTCCCTCCACAGGCTCCAGGGGAGAAGACAGAGAATAACTGATTCTGATGGCTGCTGGCATTCCTTGCTTTGTGACATCATTCCAATCTCTGCCGGATTACAGGCGTGAGCCACTGACTTGGCTTCATTTATTATTTATTACTCATTGATTTGACAAACAAGTTTTCACATTATTAATAGTTCTAGGGATCAGGAACTGAATGTCTTTGGGGGGTCACTATTCAGCCTATTCCACACTGCCTGAGAGCTCACCTGCTTAGCTAAGAGGTAGCGTATGAAATGTCCTGGCATACCCAGGACGAAGGTGCTGGGTATCGGGGTGGAGTTCTGGCTCTGTGTAAGGCACCTTGCTGGGTGCTCCACCAACTCCACCCCACCTGACCTACACAAGCGCATGTGGATTTACCAGGATTCAGACTCAGATATGTATAGTTTGAGAGTGCTTTTTACTGGCATTATTTGCTGCCTGTCAAGGCCAATGTTGCCTACTTTACCTCTTAAACAGTAAATCTTCTCCTCCTCTTCCGCCACTACTGTTTCATTGTCCACATCCTTGTCTCTTATCTGAACTACTGCTTCAGCTTTCTAACTGGTCTTCTCACTTCCAGTTTCTCCCCATTGTTGCTGAGAATGGTGTTCTCACAATTGTTAACCTTGTCCTTTCCTGATCTATACAACCTGATCAGGTTCCCTGTCACCTCCAAGGTAAGATCTGAACTCTTAGATCTGGCACTCCTGGATTCCATTACTAGTCTAAGCCTTATCTCCTGACACTGTATTTCGTTGTGCATGTATTGAGATGGCCAGTTTAGAGTCCAAAAAGTATGGGTTTTAATCCTGGCCCCTACATGTTTAGCTGTGAACCTAGGCAGGCTACTTACTGTCTCTGAGCCTTAGTCTCCTCATCTCGAAAATAGATAATGCTTCCTATCTCAGGATTATTGTATGGATTAGAAATTAGATATCCAAGGTACCCAATTCAATCAATGCTGGTATGCAGTAGCTTTTTCATTATCATTACTACTTATGAAACTGTCATCTCCAACAAAGTATGAGCTCTTCAAGGACAACAGTGTGTCACGCTCACAACTCCAGAGCTATTCAGCGTGTTAGGCCTGTGAACAAAGGTAGGGAGACAAAGCAAAACAAAACAAAACAAAGACAAATCAAGATGAGAGAGAGAGAAAGAAAAGGACAGAGAGACAGAGGTGGGAGAGACGAAGAAGTTATTTGTAAAGTTCTGTGTTTTCTGGATGTTTGCTATAACACCTTGCAGGTTTCTTCCACGCTGTGTGCCTAGGTTTCCTCTCTTGTAAAGTTGGCTGGAAGTTGACCTAAATGATCTCTGGTTCTAATTCTCACTCTCTGCTCTACCCTGGGAAAAGTGTTTCCCTGGAGCTGGGGACATCCTTTCTGACCAAGCAGATGAGGGGCAGCTTTATCAGGTGTGACAGTGCTGTCCACCGCCCTAATGGAGTCTTTTGAAGAGGCTGGTGGGCAAGAACAGATGGAGATCTAACATCAGGTATAATGTGCCTGATTCTGGATGGGATAACCTTAGTGGGTATTTTCACTTTAGACCATATTAGGCAAGTGGTTGTCATTCATTCATTCACTCACTCACTATTTATTTATTTTTGAGATGGAGTCTCACTCTGCTGCCCAGCCTGGAGTAGAGTGGTGTGATCTTGGCTCACTGCAACCTCCACTTCCTGGGTTCAAGTGATTCTCCTGCCTCAGCCTCCCAAGTAGCTGGGACTACCGGTGTGCACCACCATGCCCAGCTAATTTTTGTGTTTTTAGTAGAGACGGGGTTTCACCTTGCTGGCCAGGCTGGTCTCAAACTCCTGACCTTGTGATCCATCTGCGTAGGGCTACAAAAGTGCTGGGATTACAGGCATGAGCCACTGTACTTGGTTTCATTTATTATTTATTACTCATTGATTCAACAAACAAGTTATCAAATACCGCCTCTGTGCTGGGCCATGTAATAGGCATATAGAGCATTCACACTGGCTATGTGGAGTAAACAAAGCAGGGATGGCCATGCTCTCAATATGGTTATAGTCCAGGTACCATTGACATGTTTGGCAAAATGATTCTGTATTGTGGGGGCAGTTGTGTGCATTGCGGGGTGTTTAGCAGCATCCCTGGTTTCTCCCACTAGATGTCAGCAGCACCCACCTCATACAACCAAGTATGTCTTCAAACACTGCCAAACATTCCCTGGGGCAAACGCACCCCTGGGTGAGAACCACTGGTCTAGTGGTTGTACAGTATCTGGTGAAGATGCAGCAAGTGAAATGAGAGAGGTGAGCAGGATCTTGACTGGGAAGAGTATTTCCTTCCCTACTTGGAAAAAGTGATCCCTGAATGGATGCTTGGAGACAGGGAAGGGGAGCGGGATCCCACTCACAGTCTGCATGAATCTGGTAAGACGGTTATTAAACCACTCTCTTCATTACTTTGTCAGGAAAGAGTGTCCTCCCTCCATTTCTAGCACACCTCAATACCCGAGATGCCTCTCCCTTCTCTACTTGCCTGGACTCCTGGTATTTATAGCTCATCTGTCTAACTCAGACCCACTTCTCACTCAAGAGGGAAATTAATCTCTTTCTCCAAATTCCACATTGTCGCTTGCCCTATGGCTTCCTCATTACCCTGCTCTTCCAATCCAGGCACCAGCAATTTCCCCGAAGTGCCCCTTTCTCCACTGACAGTCGGCCATGGCTCTGAAAATTGGCTCTTGGAATTGGAATGGCCATTAAGGAGTTCCTGAACCCTCTGATATTACAGGCAAACTGTGGAAATTTTCTGGGGAGACCATTCATAGTGTTCTACAATTTTAAAAAAAAATCAGTATCTTCCAAAATGTTAAGAATCTCTGCTCTAGGTTTGTGGCTAGAGATAATTGAGTTTACCACCATCTTCCAGGTAATGTTCCTTCTTCTCATTTCTGACCTGTTCCCTTCTTATAGTCTGATCCCTCTGGGGTTAGTGAGAATCTGACAGAGTGCAGGGGAGTAAAATCAGGTTAGACTGAAATGGAATGAACAATATGGAGAATCTATCCCGAGTGCATCTGCATTAACTTAACTAGAAAACCTCAGAGAGTCTGGCGGCCCAAGTCTGCTTCAGGGGTCAAAGAACAGCTCAGCAAAGATGAGCCCTAGAAGGTGACTGCAAAACTCAGCTGAAATCTGGGCCATTCTGTGGCTGAGAATTGGGGTTCAGTCTTTTCCTGGGAAAAGCATCAAACTCTGGGCTCAGAACTTAAAAGGCCCACTTAAGGGTTTGGCGAAGGGACAGGATGGGGCCTCCACCTTTAAAAGAAGCCCATTCCCCTGCCCTTGTGTCTTCACCCCTGATTAGGCCTGAATCTGAAGCACTTACGTGGATTAATGAAATGAGCAATGTCCTGTGAATCAAGAGAGCTATATTTGAGCATCAGCTTTCACCAAATGCTGTATGCCTTGGGCAGGTCACTGACCCACTCCTGGGCTTCAGTTTCTCCATTTGGATAATAAAGAGGAATTGGCTTGCTTCACAGTTTCACCAATGAGTGACTATTATTATAGTGAAACTCCATTATAACACCTCGTCATTAGCCATGTCCTTGCATTTATTCCTCATTTTGAGACATCCTTGTTCTATTTCAAGCAAAACAGCAATGAATCCCATCCCTAGGAAAGGTTTGATGATAAACTTAAATCCCAATCTTTAGGACCCTCCTGGCTCTAACATTTTATGATTTTTTTTCTGCTCTGATGTTACTTTCTTTTTAACTGTTGTTTTGAACTTAAAACTTAGGGAATGAAATCAATGTTGCTGACCATAGACTATCTTCCAGGCACTGTGCTAGTTTCAGTTATTATGATAAACAAGGTAGATTTTGATACCTTGTGTTAAAGGTTAGAAAACTGAGATTCAGAGATGTCACCTTTCTAATATCACTCAGTTAGCAAACTGACAGGACTTGAACTCGAATCTGTCCTACTACAAGGCCTGTGGATTTAAAAATTACTTTTATTCTATAATTCTTTATTGTTTTAGCTTTCTTAAAATTCATTTATTCAATATTTATTGGGTATCTGCTGTGTAAGGCACTGTGCCAGATGCTATGGGTCTGGAGATGAGAAATCAGCCCCTGTCCTTGAGCAGCTTTTAGAGAAGACATGTAAATTAAAGTTGCAAGTTAGGGCAATGACACTATGGCAGAGGGACATACGGAAAGTCAGGGTGCAGAAAGTGGGATTTAATATTGGAGACACCCTGGAAGCTTCTCAGACTAGGAAACACCTGTGCTGAATTGAGGGGGTAAGACTGTCTAGGTTTTTTTCGAGATGGAGTCTCACTCTGTCATCCCGGCTGGAATGCAATGGCGTGGTCTCGGCTCACTGTAACCTCTGCCTCCTGGGTTCTAGCGATTCTCCCATCTCAGCCTCCTGAGTAGCTGGGACTACAGGTGCGTGCCACCACACCCAGCTAATTTTTAGTAGAGATGGGGTTTCACTCTGTTGGCCAGGCTGGTCTTGAACTCCTGACCTTGTGATCCACCCACCTCAACCTCCCAAAGTGCTGGATTGCAGGCGGGAGCCACTGCACCTGGCTGCCTTTTTTTTTTTTTTCTGAGATGACTTTTCATTAAACAAGTTAGTCAACAATGAATTGAGACTCTATTATGTACCAGATCCTTTTCCAGTTTCTGGAACACAATTGCATATAACAACAAACTCTTATGGAGCTCACATTATAGCAGGGAAGAAAGTCAATAAACAAACCAACAAATACAGTACAAGATTGAAATCCTGACCTGGAGGAAAAGTAAGACTTGGCCAGGTAGAGAGAGTTTAATGTCATGAAAAGCTATCCTGATAAAGACAGAGACATGTAAAAGCATGACAATCTCTTCGAAGATGTTTGTCATGGCTGGAAGACCTTCTAAAAGATGAAGAAGGAAGCAAGAGAGAGAAAAATGCAAGCACAGATGGTGAATGCCTTGTGTAATGTTATGAGTATGAACTTTCTCCTGCAGATAAGGCGAAGCCATGGGAGGGTTTTAAGAGACAGAGACACAATGTTCAAATTTGGTTCCAGGGTGATTTCTCCTGTGGCCCCTGGTGAAGGGGGCTTTGGAGGGGACCTAGATTACAGATAGGGAGAATAGTCCTGGTCCAGGGAGGATGGTGAACTAGGGCCTGAATGCAGTCACTATCAGGGGAGTTGTGAGGAGGACATAGCGTTAGAAATATTTTTCAAGTAAGAAAGATGATACTTGGGTGCTGGCAGAGGTGACGGGACTAGGAATAGCATCAAGAATAGCATACCAGTTTCCTGCCTTGGAGAACAGCATGGTGGTGTCCCCATTGACCTTGGGTAGGAAGCTCTGTGTTCCCTAGAATACTTTCAATGCCACCCTTCTTAGTAGTAGTGTTCCCTAATTTTATTTTGCTGTGCAGATGTGCCAAGTGGCTATTATAATCCCTATAGTGAATTTCCATTAAAAGGACCAGTTACTGGAATGTTCTTATCTCTAATGCTCTTCTGTGGACATCCTGGTTTCATGTCAAACAAAGCTGAAAATGATCCCACTCACAGGATAGGTATGAGGCTGGCCTTAAACTCCCCATGAGGCCAACATATTTATCTAATCTTTAAGACAGAATATGTTTTTTCTGGAACTTTTCCTTTCTCTTCCATTCTTACTCCCCCACACCTCTGACGGGCCAGCTGTCCTGTCTGTCTGACTGCTTCCCTCTCTTTGATACATGCTAATCAGGATCCACTCACTGTCAGGATATAAACATGCCTGTTCCATGTCTCACTCCATCCTGCTCTATTTTAGTAACAATAAGAACAAGCACATTATATCCCATGCACTCGTTCATCCCATGGGCAACAGGATTTCTTAAACCAGTTCTATGCCACTTGTCATGTTCCCTCTGTGGCAGGGCCTCTGCCCAGAAGGCTGTTCCAAACTCCCTGCCTCTTTGCCTCTAAGTAACTCCTACTAATTCTTCAGACGTCAGCCCCACTGCTACTTTGGCAAGACAGCCATCCCTGACTTCCAGGCTGTCAGTCTGCCGTCCTATTCTCTCCCAGAACCTCCTGGCACTCCTTCATGGTTCTCTCATGATGGTTACTTTACATTGTGGTGTAGTTTTTGATAAATATCAATTTCTTTTTTGTTTTGTTTTGATTTTGAGGTGGAGTCTCCCTCTCTAGTCCGAGGTGGAGTATAGCGGCACCATCTCAGCTCACTGCAACCTCCACCTCCCGGGCTCAAGCGATTCTTATGCCTCAGCCTCCCAAGTAGCCAGAACTATAGGTGCGTGCCATCATGCCCAGCTAGTTTTTTGTATTTTAGTAGAGACAGGGTTTCACTATGTTGCCCAGGGTGGTCTTGAACTCCTAAGTTCAGGCGACCCTCCTGCCTCGGCCTCTCAAAGTGCTGGGATTACAGGTGTGAGCCAAACAGATAAGAAAATATCTGTTTCTTTCACTGGGCTACCAAGTTCTGTGATTGCAAAAATGATGTCTGCTTAGCAGTGTCTGGCACATTAGGTGTTCAACTAAGTATTTGCTGTGTGAAACAATAAATATTGCTAATGGAAGGAATTTACATTAGCTTCCATTTCTTTTCTTCTTCCTAGGCCAAGATTATTTCAGGATTTCATGAAGAGGAGAAATGGAGGTCATTTCCTAGAGGTTAATGGAGTTTGATTTGAGAAGAGAACTGTGTAAGGAGCAGGGGTGGGTGTGAAGCAAATGTCACACACCCCAGAAAGTAAAGTGACCTGGCTCTTCCCCTCTCACTCCTCAGAAAGAGGGAAAGTTCATCAGAATCAGGACCCTGGAAAAGGGATCTGCTGAAGAGAAGGAGGCCCTGAGTACCACCATCCAAAAGGCATTTCCAAGGAAGCCAGTGATGTGACTGCCTTCGTGGCAGAGAACAAAGGTTTTGTAAAGGAACCAATGGCTCTCTAGCCCCTTTCTAGGTGGATTCTGGGGTAGATGGACCCAGTTCCTTTGATAACTGGTTAGTTATAGCTATAGGGTTAAGCCAGTTGAGTCATATTAGTCTGGGCTTCCAGAGACACAAGGTCTTCTTGAACCATAAGCTCTCAGAACAATGCCCTGCCTAGGCAGAGCAGAGAAGCCTGAACCTTTTGCCTGGAGAGAACAAAGAAGAGCACACAGCTCAGGAGCCACCAGACCTGGGACTACCCATTGGACCCCTAATCACCACTGCTCTTGGCCTCTCTTTCCCATTAGGTTGTGAGTTCCTTGAGGACAGAGCCTACCTCTTCTCCGTCCTCGTTTCCCCAGCCTAATGCACCATCAAATAATGCTGTGGAAAGAAAAAGTAAATGAATAAATAAACCTTAGGTAAGTGGTTTATCTACTAATCCTCAATTCCTGATTAGTAAAATGAGAATAACAATAGCTACTAACAAGAGTGTTGTGTAGATTGTATGACTTAATGAATGTGAAAGCACCTGGTGTGGAGTTTAACATAAAATAGGTAATCAAAAATACATTATATTCTTTGTTTTGGCTTTAATCACACGTTCTCACTTTAAGTATTCCCTGAATTTTAGTGACCTTCATATTTTCTAGCGTTAACTTGACAGTGCACCACGGGTTAGAGGATCATAAAATAGCAGAGCAAGAGGGCACCAAGACTGAACCCCCAATATCAATTCCATGACTCAGGAGGAGTTGACTCTACTCAGACTCTGGGTAAGGAGGGAGTCAGCCCAATGGTGGCCAATCAGAGCACTGATATATCTGTTTCCACAGTGACTAGTGAGGTATGGCATATGGCCCATACCTGACTTCGTTCCGGGACTTGTGAAACAGGGAATTACCCTTATACTGAGAGGCTGGGATGTCCACCAGGAGCTCCTGGCAGCTAATTTGCTTCTAGGTGGGGAGAGCTGGTTGAATAATGAAGCCAACACTCAGGAAACGGTGCTTAGGTGTTGAAGACAGGGAGCTTCTGACCAAGCCTTCATGACATTGAGTCCTTAGATCCAGTCATGCCCCAAACAAGTATCCCTTTGGACTCTTGAGTTTTATGAGCTAATTAATATCCCTTTTTATTTAAGTCAGTTTGAATTGGGTTTTCTGTCCCTTGCAACCAAATTTTGGCTAATACAAGATGTTTGAATTTGTTTCATCACACCTCTTGATTTTACAGATGAGGAAGAGATTTGCAAATCACATGAGCAGTTTTTACACACAACCAATTTTCTAAGTAAGTAAATTGCCTCAATTCCTTTTATCCTTACTGCTGACCAGAACAGGAACAGGTTGTCCCTATGCCTGGATTGGGTCATAGAATATTGATTTTGGTCACAGAATGCCTAATCTTTCTGTAACAGAGCAAATTTTTTAATTCAAGTCCTTGGGAATCAGTTTTGTTTTGCATTACAATGTTTTTATCCCCCAAGCAGAACTGCTGATGGCTGTCCTTTCCCTTCCACACAGTATAATCAGCAGCAATTAATTATAATCACAAGGAGACAGCACAAATGAACAGAGCATTAATTGGACAGAAGTAAGCAAAATCTCCTTTAGCTCACAGTTAGTGCCTGTATGAAGGAAGAAGTGAGGAGGCACATACATGTGTACATACACACACACACACACACATGCACAGTCACACACACAAACATACACACAGCCCATAGTCAACCAGAGAATAAGGAGACAATATAGGATGAGCATGCTCTCTCATCAGTATGGTGTAGTGGAAAAAAAATCAAGGACTTTGGAGTCACAAGATTCCACCACTAACCAGCTGCTTAAACTAGCTTTCTCATCTGTAAAACAAGGACACATTACTTCAAAGTGGATTAGAATATTAAATAAGAATATTGTATGTAAAGCACTTTTTACTGGTAGGTAGCCGAAACTCTATACCTTCTAGTAGTTCTTTTTCCTTCCACATCAAACACCTTTTATGACTGGTAGAGAATGAAGACCTAATAAGATCTGAAATTTTAGACCCTCGAATGTTCTTAATCCAGCCTAACCAATTTGTTTGTCTCCCCCAGACCTTCCACTTAATCCTATACCATTCCCCTTTCCCAGTATCTGCCCCCTCCCCCACACTCCTGCCTCCTCTTGCCTCTTTGCCTCTTTCCCCTTTGGGTTGTAGATTCTGGGAGGGTAGCTTAGTATCCCAGTTGCCCCTCACAAGACCTGACACACAGTAATCAATGACTGGACATTTGTTTAATAACTATTGATGGAGTCTGTGTCTGTGCTTATGTTCTCCTTTTACCTGCAGCATCCAACCCTTCTATCTTGGTCTCAGTCTTAGTCGTCCTTCAAGGCTTAACCTAGAAGCTACCACCTCCTCCATGAAATCTTTGAAACTTATCCCTGAGGGGGAGGATCCAAGATGGATGAATAGGAACAACTCCAGAGTGCAGTTCCCAGCAAGAACAATGCAGAGAGTGAGTGCCTACCACATTTCCAAACACATTTTCACAAATTTGATTTCCAAACAAATCCCATAGACCAGGAGATTCCCAGGCTGAAAAGCACCATGAATTTTCAGCATGGCAGTTTCAGCCGGTGCCGGGTTGGTGCACAGAAACTCACTCACAAATATCTGGGTGGCCGTTTCAACTGGCACCTGGAACACCTGGGAGACAGAGCCACCCATTCAACTGAAAGGGAGGGGCAAAGACAGGGAGCCAGGTGATCTGGCTCGGTGGGTACCACCCCCACAAAACAAGCAATCTGAAATGCTCTGGATTGAGAGTTTCACAGCAAGTGCAGCTGGACTGGAGACAGTCCAGCTCAGTGGGGGGAAGGGTGACCACCACTACCAAGGCAGTTCACACAGCAGCTGGGCAGAGCCTGAGGCAGCTCAGCAATGCCTCTGCTGGCAGACTGTGACTAGACTACTTGGTGCAGGGCAAGGCATCTATGAAAAAAGGCAGCAGCATGACAGGAACTTATAAATAAAGCTGGGCTTCCTAGGACAGAGCACCTGGGAAAAGAGGTGGTTATGAGTTCCACTGCAGCAGACTTAAAAGTACCTGCCCAGCATCTCTGCATGGAAGAACGGAACTCCCAACACAGCACTTGAGCTCCTATAAGGGACAGACGGTCTCCTCAAGCAGCTTCCAACTCCCGTATACCCAAAAAGACACCTCATAAAGGAGAGCTCAGGCTGACATCTGGCAGGTGCCCTTCTGGGACAAAGATAACAGAAGAAACTGGCAGCAACCCTTACTGTTCTGCAGCCCCTGTGGGTGATCCCCAGGCAAGCAGGGTCTGGAGTGGACCACCAGCAGTCCTGCAGCAGAGAGGCCTGTTTTAGAAGGAAAACTAAGAAACAGAAAGAAATAACTTCATCATCAACATAAAGGATGTCCACTCAGAGACCCCCATCTGAAAGTCACCAACTACAAAGACCACAGGTAGATAAAGCCACTAAGATGGGAAGAAATCAGTGCAAAAAGGATGAAAACACCAAAGCCCAGAATGCCTCTCCTCCTCCAAAGGATCACAGCGCCTCACCAGCTAGGGATCAAAGATGGATGGAGAATGAATTTGATGAATTGACAGAAACAGACTTCAGAAGGTGGGTAATAACAAACTTCTCAGAGCTAAAAGAACATGTGCTAACCCAATAAAATGAAACTAAGAAGCTAGAAAAAAGGTTAGATGAGATGCCAACTAGAATAAATAGCTTAGAGAAGAATATAAACGACTTGACGGAGCTGAAAAACACAACACAAGAACTTCGTGAAGCATACACAAGTTTCAGTAGCCGAATCAACCAAGCAGAAGAAAGGATATCAGAGATTGAAGATCAACTCAATGAAATACAATGAGAAGGCAAGAATAGAGAAAAAAGAGTGAAAAGAAATGAACAAAGCCTCCAAGAAATATGGGATTATATGAAAAGACCTAATCTACATTTGATAGGTGTACCTGAATGTGATGAAGAGAATGAACCCAAGCTGGAAAACACTCTTCAGAATATTATCCAGGAGCACTTCCCCAACCTAGCAAGCAAGGCCAACATTCAAGTCTAAGAAATACAGAGGGAATTGGATCCAAGATGGCTGATTAAGAGCAGCTCAGGATTGCAGCTCCCAGTGAAAGCACAGAGGGTGAGTAGACGCTGCATTTCCAGATGGATTTTTATTGCCAACAGACTGGGAGATTCCCAGGTGGAGGAGCCCCACGGGTAGACAGTGCAGCTGGTTTGGCCAGCAGAGCTGCTTTGCCAGTGCCCTGGGACAGCGGTTCCCTGTACAAAATACATGGGTCCAGGTACTGTTTTAGCTGGCAATTGGAGCTCTGGGAAGGCAGAGTCGCCCATTCATCTGATTAAAAAGGGGACCAAAACAGGGAGCCAGGCCAGGAGATTCCCGGGCAAAAATAATGCCGTGAATCTCAGTGCCACTGTTTCAGCTGGCGCAGTGGGTTGCCACATGGGAAATCACACAGATCCTGGTGCATTTTCAACAGGTGACTAGAACACCTGGGAGAGAGTTGACTGTTCAACTAAAAAAAAAAAAAAAAAAAGCCCCTGAGGCAGGGAGCCAGGTGATCAGGCTTGGCTGGTCCAACCCCAACAAAAAACAGCAATTGGAAATGCTCTGGGTTAAGAGTTGAACCTGGGAAGGTCCAGGTCTGTGGGGAAGGGGCGTCTGCCATTACCGAGGCACTCCATCACTATGAAGGTAGTCTGCCATTGCTGAGGCAACCTGCCACTACAGAGAGAGTCTGCCATTACAGAGGTGCTTGGCTTTGCCAAGGCAGTTCTAACTACACCCATATAAACAGGACTACAGGGAAGTTCACATGGCAGCTGGACGGAGCCCACAGCAGCTCAACAAAGCCTCTGCAGGCAGACAGTGACTAGGCTGCCTCCTCAGTGGGCAGGGCAGCCCTGATAAAAAGGCAGTAGCACAATGGAAACTCAAATAAAGCCCTAACTACCCAGGACAGAGCACCTGGGGAAAAAAAGGGGGGTTATGAGTTCTGCTGCAGCAGAATTAAATTTACCTGCCCAGCAGCTCTAAATGAACAACAGAGATCACAGCTCAGCACTAGAGCTCCTATAAAGGACAGACTGTTGCCTGATCCTTGTATATCCAAAGAGTCATCTTATAAAGGAGAGCTCAGACTGACATTTGGTGGGTATCCTTCTGGGACAAAGATAGCAGAAGAAGAAACTGGCAGCAACTCTTACTGTTCTGCAGTCACTGCAGGTGATCCCCAAACAAGCAGGGCCTGGAGTGGACCTCAGCAGTCTTACAGCAGAGGGGCCAGACTGTCAGAAGGAAAACTAAGAAACAAAAGGAAATAACATCATCATCAACAAACTGGACATCCATGCAGAGACCCAATCTGAAAGTCAACAACTTCAAAAATGACAGGTGAATAAATTCACAAAGATGGGAAGAAACCAGTGCAAAAAAGGATGAAATCACCTGAAACAAGAATGCCTCTCCTCCTACAAGGGATCACAACTCCTCACCAGTGAGGGAATGAGGCTGGATGGAGAATGAGTGTGATGAATTAACAGAATCAGGCTTCAGAAGGTTGGCAATAAGAAACTTCTGTGAACACATTCTAACCCAACGCAAAGAAACTAAGAACCTTGAAAAAAGATTTGATGAAATACTAATGAGAATAGACAACTTAGAGAGGAATATAAGTGAATTGATGGAGCTGAAAAACACAACACAAGAACTTCGCGAAGAATGCACAAGTTTCAACAGCAGAATTGACAAGCAGAAGAAAGGATATCAGAGGTCAAAGATCAACTCAATGAAATAAAACAGAAGGCAAGATTAGAGAAAAAAGGGTAAAAAGGAATGAACAAAGTCTCCAAGAAATATGGGACTATGTGAAAAAACCTAATCTACGTTTGATAGGTGTACCTGAATTTGACAGAGAGAATGAATCCAAGCTGCAAAATACTCTTCAGGATATCATCCAGGAAAACTTTCCCAACCTAGCAAGGCAGGCCAATATTCAAGTCCAGGAAATACAGAGAACACCACAAAGATATTCCTCAAGAAGAGCAACCCCAAGGCACATAGTTGTCAGATTCACCAGGGTTGAAATGAAGGAGAAAATGCTAAGGGCAGCCAGAGGGAAAGGTCGGGTTACCCACAAAGGGAAGCCCATCAGACTCACAGAAGATCTCTTGACAGAAACACTACAAGCCAGAAGAGAGTGGAGACCAATATTCAACATCCTTAAAGAAAAGAACTTTCAACCCAGAATTTCATATCCAGCCAAACTGAGCTTCATAAGTGAAGTGAAGGAAAAATAAAATCCTTTGCGAACAAGCAAGTTCTCAGAGATTTTATCACCACCAGGCCTGCTTTACAAGAGCTCCTGAAAGAGGCACTACACATAGAAAGGAACAACCAGTACTAGCCACTCCAAAAACATACCAAATGGTAAAGAGCATCAACACAATGAAAAAACTGCATCAACTAATGGGCAAAACAGCCAGCTAGCATCAAAAGGGCAGGCTCAAATTCACACATAACAATATTAACCCTAAATGGAAATGGGCTAAATGGACCAATCAAAAGACACAGACTGGCAAACTGGATAAAAAGCCAAAACCCATTGGTGTGCTGTATCCAGGAAACCCATCTCATACATGCAAGGATACACAAAGGTTCAAAATAAAGGGATGGAGGAAGATTTACCAAGCAAATGGAGAGAAAAAAAAAGCAGGAGTTGCAATTCTCATCTCTGATAAAACAGACTTTAAAGCAACAAAGATCAAAAGAGACAGAGAAGGACATTACATAATGGTAAAAGGATCAATGCAACAAGAAGAGCTAACCATCCTAAATATATATGCACCTAATACAGGAGCACCCAGATGCATAAGTCAAATTGTTAATGACTTACAAAGAGACTTAGACTCCCGCACAATAATAGTGGGAGACTTTAATACCCCATTGTCAATATCAGACAGATCAATGAGACAGAAAATTAACAAGGATATCCAGCACTTGAACTCAGACCTGGACCAAGCAAACCTAATAGACATTTACAGAACTCTCCACCCCAAATCCACAGAATATACATTCTTCTCAGCACCACATCACACCTACTCTAAAACTGACCACATAATTGGAAGTAAATCACTCCTCAGCAACGGCAAAATAATGGAAATCATAACAATCTCTCAGAACACAGTGCAATCAAGTTAGAACTCAGAATTCAGAAACTAACTCAGAACTGCACAGCTTCATGGAAACTGAACAACTGGTTCTTGAATGTTGACTGGATTAACAATGAAATGAAGGCAGAAATAAATGTGTTCTTCAAAACCAGTGAGAACGAAGACACAACATACCAGAATCTCTGGGACATATTTAAAGCAGTCTCTAGAGGAAAATATATAGCAACAAATGCCCACATGAGAAGCAAGGAGAGATCTAAAATTGACACTCTA